TGACAAAGTGAGTCCTTACTGATTTTAACTAAAGTGTAAATAGTGTTATTGTGTCTCGTGAGAGTTTTGGAAAGTAAATTGGATAATATATAATAAATATGTTAACGTGGCATTTAGATATGTTATTTCTGCATCTCATTCTGCAATTAATTGTAATTAGGCTTCCTCTAATTTTGAATGACAAGCAACTATTTTAATGCATTTTCTTTGCTTATTTTTTGGCCAATTTGTCTAAATCGTGTATATGTATTTTATTCATTTGTGCAGTTAGGTCATTGTTCTCTATGTAAAAGTTTCTTTTTTGCATTAATCTGTAATTCAGTAAATGTGGCAGCTCACTTTACATCTCATCTTTAATCATGTTCTTGAGTGAAATTGGTTCAGGTTCGAATATGGTTATTCATAATCTTTATTACAAAAAATAAATTTTTATTTAAAATTGATATCCACTCATGTTTGTGTGTGTATATATGTACATACACACACACACACACACACACACATATAAATATATATATATATATAATATATATATATATATATATAATATATATATATATATATATATGTATATGTTTGTGTGTTTATATATTATATATAGTTGATCAGACACTTTTGTGACATTGGCAATTTAATTTTCACATTAAACACATGTTTTCTTTTGCATTTGGTATAATTCCATCAGCTATTTCAATTTTCTTCTACCAATATGATGTATGAAAGTTGTATGCCTCACTATCTCATTAATGATTCATGTTTCTTTTTTGTTTAATGTTTTTTCTTTTACATCTCAAAAAAAATATCTCCATTCTCCATAAACACATTCAAAAATAGATCATAAGGATAAGACAAAACCACAGGAATATTTTTCTAAATATATTGTTTTATAAATATTTACAGATTTTACATTCTCAACCTGAGTAGTGATAATAAAATAAGGAAACAGCAGATTATACTGTTCATACTTGACTACAATCTCCTTCTCAACGGTGCATCCACAAAAACACAGATGTACCTAGGCTCTTGTAGGACTTCCTTATTAACTCTCTTTCTCGTCTCTTTTTTCTCTTTCAACTCTCTCTCTTACTTCTTCACCCTAATTGATTGATTCATTATCATTACTTCCCTTTTCTCTCGCTATGTCTTTCTCCGTCAATTGGTCTCTCGTCAACACAAGATCGTGGTCTCTTTATTTCTCTTTATTCACACTACTTTTTCTTCTTTATCTTCTTTCCAACACTTCTTTCTCTCCTCTCGAAATTTCCTTTCTTCCATCTAACATTTCTCTTCTCTTCTCTCGAAATTTCCTTTCTTCCATAAAACACATCTCTTCTCTCTCTCAAAATTCCTTTCTTCCACCAACATTTCTCTTCTCTTCTCTCTCGAAATTACCTTTCTTCCATCTAACATTTCTCTTCTCTTCTCTCGAAATTCTCTTTCAACACTTCTCTTCTCTCCTCTCGAAATTCTCTTTCTTCCATCAAACACTTCTCTTCTCTCTTATTCCCTTTTTCTTCTATCGTCTCCTGCAGCCCCACGAGAGTCTAAGTCCATCAGAGTAACATGGGACACAACCTCTGTTTCTCGAGTGTTTGGCAGCTTATGAACAAAGTTTGGGGTCTGATGAATGGTTTAGGTTCATTTTTTTAGGGCCTGATCAAGTAAGGTGAAAACTATACAGTGGGATATATATTTTTTTAAACATTTTTCTTTTTCAAAATCTTCAAGCCACGAATTTCAAGGGATCAGCTATTTTTTTTTTATTTTTTTTTTATTTTTAGATATTCCGGTCATGCATTCGGAGTTTTTTTTTTTTTACTTATATAAAAAAGAAAAGAGAAAAAAAATCTTTAAGCAAGACATTACTATAATGCCATATAGATTTCCCTTACACATGACGCCCGAACTTAACATAGGACACAATGGGTCTGAACCCTGACGACAAAGGGTCCTTACGTGAGACAAGCCTAGTGATCCCTCGGCTTTCAGAACATTGGGAGGCAAAAAGAGGTGAAAATTATGAGGTAATGAGAGTGCAATTGCTATTATTTGGTTGATTCTGATTGGGTTTGACTGGACCATACCTGGGATATAGGAAGAACTTCCCAGGAACCCGTACATGCAGAACAGCAACATCTCGAACAGACCAAAAGATACCCATAAAAACGAAAAAAATAATAGTAACTGAATAACATGCTGTTTCTGAGGTTACCAATAAACCAAAGACATAAAATGTGGTGAAAAAAACAACACATTTCCCACCACACATACACATGGAAGCAAATACATAAAAAGAAAAGAAAAAAAAGTAAAAAATAAAATCATCAACATTGCTCCAGCCGTTATCCACCTCATATATATATACATATAATATATGTGTATATACTTCTATTTTAAGTATTCCTGGATTTGGATCAGGCTCTGAGCGCCCCATTCTGCATGTTTGGCCCTGGCCGACTACAGTACAAGTTATGACTGACTTAAGACACGCGACACGAAGGCGCGCCGTGAAGCCAGGAAAGGCGAGGAGATGCCGTGACGAAATCAGCTGTTCCGATGGCGTTCCACTTCGAATAAGATAAAAAGGGGGAACGATATACACTGTACATACCAAATATCATAATCAAAATGAAGAAACATGTTGCCATTGAAGTGATGACCGCAATGAATATCACTCTTGGACACGGCTTGATGAAAATACACATAAATAAACCATAACAAGATTCGGTCCGCGCTTCACCGACTAACAGAAGGTGAAAGGGGGACTCGTGGAAACAAAGAGTCAAATTGGAACAAAACATAACAAACACACATCTTATTTTTTTTTTTGGCGTTGATTGCAAAACATCTCCTTTTACATTTTTCGCTGGTCATTCGCGCCTAAATAGAGGTAAGTGCAGGAAGGGTTTAAATGGTGGCAGCTCCAAAGAAAATGGAGTCGAGGGAAGGTCGAGAAAATTACAACACGCTTTGGCCCAAAAGACGATAATAATAACAACAGTAATAAAAACGGAGAGATAAAAAATGCCCATTCATAAAACATATTAACACAAAAATAATGATTAATCGAAAAAACATCAAATATCATCTAATCTTTTCTTTCTTCTCTCGTTTTCTTTTTTTAATTTCCACAAAGTAGTCAAATCGGAGAGAATAGAAGGGCTGACTGATTGACTGTATCCTTCCGTGCAACAGTCAATTCCCGTGAGTGACAAAAGGCCCCAAAATCGTGGTTGTGTAACCGTCTCAGCCTTCCTCGTTGCCAACTAGGTTTAGGGTGCAAAAAAATCATGAGTTAGTTTAAAAATGGATAAACTTGGACTGAAATATATTAAGAATTGCAACATAAAAATCAAAAATGTCTTAATACTTCAAGCTTATAAAAATCCAAAAAATACTATGAAGGGAAAAAAACAACAATAATGAATAAAAGAGGGAAAAACAACAGGCTATAATTACAAAAAAGGGGGAGGGAAAGAAGGAACGAACGGAGAGAGGGAGAGAGAGAGGAGAAAAGCGATGAAATAAAGGAGGGAAAAGGAGAAAGGAAAACATACCAACAAAGCACAATGACTTTGCTTTGCAGTAAACACAAAAAAAAAAATTCTCTGTACTTAACCACCTCTTCCTTAGTTTAGTCAATTAGTTTTGTCATATATTATATAAAAAAGTGACTACAAGCAAAATATCTAAATGATTCTCACGGTTCTATGATACATAAAACACTATACATCAAATCAAACAAGGATTTCATAAATGGAGTAATGTAAGCGTAGAAGAAATGGAAAAAAAATCATCAACAGCTCTATAGGCTCTACGGAAATACGGTTTTTCTCTTATCTTGTTTTTTTTTCCTTCTCTCTCTCTCTCTTTCTTCTCCGGATAACGTCTTTCAATAGCGTCCAAAGCTATTTTTTGCTGGACCAGAATATACCAATCTTTGAATTTTATTTTTGACAATATGACAATTTTATTTTTTTTATTTTTTGACAATTTCATTATCTCTCATTTTTCTATTTTTTCCCGTTGACTCGTTGGGTAGCAATAATTTAAAGAACAAAAACAACAGCATACAATTAACTGAATATAATAACTTAGGACTGCTACGAGAACATTGAAAAACGAAACAGTTACAAGGCATATTCTCTCAAGCGGCCATTTGAAAAAAAAAAAAAAAAAAAAAAAAAAAAGTTTCTGCGCTCCAACCGAGGCGTCTGAACGTGAGGCAGGAAACTTAATATCATAAAGTTAATTTTTATGTTTCATTCTAAATCTTATCTGATATTGGCTTGACCTCTCTACTTTTTTTCGTAGAGAAAGAGAGAGGAGAGAGGAGAGAGAAGAGAAAGAGGAGAGAGGAGAGAGAAGTGAGTGAGACTGAGAGAGAGAGAGAGAGAGAGAAAGAGAGAGGAAGAGAGAGAGAGAGAGAGAAATCCGATTCTACCAAAGAGAGAAAGGTAATGAGAAATCAAGAAATCAAAAATTAATCTCCACTAACGAAAAAAATCTTTCCGCCTTGCGAAATATAATGTTGAAAAGCATCAACAAGCTCATGTACTGTACGTAAAAAAAACAAAAAACAAAAAAACATAAAAAAAATCTATGTGTAAAATGACCCATATTCTCATATTCCCAATAAAAAGCTGAGCCATGCATAAATAAGTTTTTTTTCGTATTTTTTTATATATCTTAAATAGAGACGATCATAAATAAGAGTGAGCTAAGCACGTTTCCCCAACGTAAACAAAGGCCGCAAAGTGCAAGATGGCTCAGTGGAAAATCATTGCGGCTCTCTGTTGTATAGACTCTTAACTCGCGGAAAATAGTAATAGTGAATTAGTACTATAAGGAGAGGGGTGCGGGTGGGGGGGGGGGCTGAGGGAGGGGGCATCTATAGGCAACTCATTTTAACATACAAATCATTTTTTTTTTTTTTAACACTGAAGATGGGCGGCGGGAGCGAGAACGAATGAACGCTGAGATTTACAGCTGTTTGGAATTTGATTTTAAAAGGAAGTATGGAAATCCTCGAGTGAATATTTCAAATAAAAAGGAGAGAGAGGAAAACGGAAGAAAATGATTAGTCTCGCTATGAATTAATTTCTCTCCGACTCTAAAACAAAAGCAAAGCCGAAAAAAAAGGAAAAAAAAAAATACATAGGCGTCCGGTTGCGCTGGTTTCGCGGCCGGACGCCCACGCCGCTCGTTCGCTCTCTTCCGCGGCGCCTCCTTCCTCCTTCCTTCCTTCCTCCCTCCTTCCTTCCTTCCTTCCTTCCTCCTTCCGCCCGAGACGCGACGGAAGCTCCCTCCTCCCTCGCGCCTCTTCCTATCCTACGTGTCAACTGACCTTAACCTTAAGTTTCCACTCTAATGTTATATCACATCGAAATTTATCTTAATACGTAGTCTGACAATCCAGTTTCATATTTTTTTGTAGATTTTTTTTTCTTTGTGTGTGTATAATGTAAGTATTAGTAAAAAAAGGAATCACAGTTTTGGTGCCGTTGCGCCTGAGGCGTTGGCGCCGCACACGCGCCTCCCGTCGCCTGCGGCTGCGGCAGGCGGCACTCGGCCTCCCGGCGGCGGCGCGGGAGGCCCTCAGGGCAGGCGGCTTCTTGGTCCCCCTAACGAACAGGAAGTCCTCAGACAAATGCATGGAGTCCTTGGCGATTCCGAAGGCAGTGGCGATCTCAGCCGGCGTTGAGGTCGCTCTCGGCGCGGTGCTCCGGGCGCGCGCGCGCCGCCGGGGCCGCGGGGGCGCTGTGGGCTCGGCCGGGCCCGGGCGGCGGCGGCGCGGGGGGCTGAGCGCCGGGAGGTGGGCCACGGAACGTCAGTGGAAGGGCGTGCTCGTGCTGGAACGGTTGCCGGGAGCAGCGGAGGCAACAGCAGTAGCTTATGTCAATGTTTATCCGATATAAATTAGCGACCCGACTAGCTTGTGCACATGAAGGCGTGGCGGGGGCGGCGCCCGAGGAGGGGCGGCGGCCCCCACGCCGACACCGGCGGGCAGCGCCAGCCGCGCCGGTGGGGTCGGTGCTGCGAGGAGGTTTCCGAGGCCTCTGGTCACCGACTGCAGGATGTGGCAGTGTTGGGGCTGACCCCACGGGGCCCCAGGGGGTCCTCGTCCCCCCCAGCCCACGGCTCGGGGTGACGGCGAGGGTTCGCGAAGTGGTCGGCGGGTCGGGACAGCCGTCAGAACATGACCTCCTGCATGTCTGTCGGGTGTGACGTGGACGTGGACAGCGACTCCGCGTTCGACTGCGTCCAGATCTCGATCTGACGGTGGCACTCCTTCAGGCAGTCCTGCGGGGGAAAGGCAGCGTTAGCAAGGCGGGTCCAAACGCCACACACACACACGCACACACAAACAGAAACAGCAGACAGAAGACAACAAGGGCCCAGCGTCTGGCGGTCGGGGAGGACAGGATCCCTGCTAATTCTTCCCGCCCATCTTCCCTTTCCCTTTCCCCGCCCACTCACGACCCGGCGCCCCGAGACGCCTTCCCCAGCGGGAGGAGGGAGGGAGGGGGGGGAAGAGGAGGAGAGGAGGACGACAAGAGGGGAGGAATAGGAGGAGGCAGAAGGAATGGCGGAGAAAGGAGGGAAGGCTGGAAAGCAGGGAGAGGAAGGAAAGGCAGGGAAAAAGGAAAAGGGAAGGAGCAGAAGCAGGAAGACACGCAGGAGTAAAAGGAGGAGGAGGAGGAGGAGGAGGAGGAGGAGGAGGAGGAGGAAAAGAGGAGGGAGGGGGCGGGGTGGCTGCGAGTGCCGGCTGCGTTGTAACGGCCCGACCCGTGGCACTTCCGGCGAGGCGAGCAGGGGGGGGGGGAGCGGGCGTGGCACCAGCGGCAGTCACGGTCATTATGAGGTCGGAATACAGACCCTTTGCCTCCTCCCCCCTCTCCCCCCCTCCACCGTGTCCTCTCCTTGCTAACGGATAACGGAGATCCCCCTCCGCTATCCGCCTTACACAAAGTCACAAAGTCGAAAACTTAAAATAATGTAAATAATAAGAGTAACAATAATAACTTCTACTACTACTACTATTAACTAATAAAATATAATAGTAACAATAATACTAATAATACAAGTAACAAGAATAAAAATAGTAATAATATTGAAATCACCAATAACGCTATTACTAAATCCATCTCACAACAACGAAAGTGGGAAAGCGAACGAAACATAACGAAGAAGACACACAAGAAGACAGCGAACAAAGGAAGGTCGAAGGCCGTGCCATATCTTAGATTTTGGCGCGCGAAAAAAGGAGTGAATTTGATAGCTTCTGACATCAATGAAAAAATTCTTTTGTAATTAATTATTCGTCGCAAATTCAGATTTATTGATTATACTATTATAATATTATCCTTATCGATAATAATAATAATGATGAACTTGTCACACACTATAATAAATACGAGAAAAAAGGAAATAATGCAGTAAAAAAGAGGGCCAACAAGCCTAAACAAAATTCAAAATCTTCAAATCAAATACAAACAAATCTATACATCTCATGTAAAAAAAAGAAAGAAAATAAAACGAAATAAACACCAAATAAACTAAGTGTCAAAAAACATCACGAAAAAAGGGGAAACGGAGATAAAACAAGTAAGGAAAACAAAAAGAAAACTGAGGAACCCCCCCCCCCCTCAGCTTGGGCACAGACGCAAGAGGGTCATAGGTCATAGGGGAAAGAGGGGGGGGGTAAGGATAAAGGTCGTGTAGGGTCACCAGAAAGCGACCACTTGAAGATTTCCTTCCTCGAAAAAAATATAAAATAACAGAAAAATAAAAACAAAATTGGTGTCAAATAATACATTTCAAAAATAATAAAAGGAAGAAGGGATGATGGATATATATATATATATATATATATATATATATATATATATATATATATATATATATATATATAAAGCATTCGTGTATATGGTTCTATACATGTGAACATATACGTGCGTGTGTGGTCATTAATAATAATAATAATAATAAAATAATAATAGTAACATAACAAGTAGTAGTAGTAGTAGGTAGTAATAATAATAAGTAAAAGCAACAACAACAATAATAATAGAATACCTTCTCTAAACCCTCTGTGCTCGATAGGCCTACGAAACGCGAGTGCATATTATTACAGTCTCAAGTAGGCTCACAAAGGCCCATTTCTGGAGGCAGAGAAGGGCAGGGGTAAGCCTCTCCCCTCCCCCCTCCCCCTCCCCCCATCTCACTGCATCCTTGAAAAATCGACCCAAAGTCCCCACCCCCCTCCTCCTCCTTCCCACCCCCTCCCTCTTTA